CCTCGTCTGATGCCAGGGAGGCAGTGGACGAGGTTTTTTGAATCTCCCCTCGTCCCTCGTCGTGCTGAAGATCTTAGCACGGGGAAGGGAGAGTGGAGTATATGAGTCGTACCTTTCCCGCGTAGGGAACGTGCTTCTCTTTCCTCGGCTCGGAAGCAGAGGATGGTTCTGAGGCCTTGGCCTTCCCTTTCCTCTGCGCCAAGGTTTCGGGCCATTGCCCTTTCGGCTTCTCAGCCCTCGAGCGAGACTGAGATTTTGATTTGTTCCACTCCTCGGCCCGGATGAACTTGTCCGAGGCTTCCAAGGCTTCCTCTAGGGTCTGCGGGGGATGCATGACCATGAAATCCAGGAACTTTCCGGCTTGAAGGCCGTTCCGTAGTGCGAATACGGCCAGGCCTTGATCCAGGCTTGTGATACCGGATGACTCGTTGCTGAAGCGAGTCAGATAATCGCGGAGGCTCTCATCCTCCGCCTGCTGCAGACTCATTAGCTCTGCAGTAGTCTTCTCTCGGCGGTTGGCCGTGGAAAAACTTGCTCTTGAACTTGTTGGAGAGATCCTGCCAACCAATTATAGAGCCTTTCTTGAGCCCTTTGGTGATCCAAGATTGGGCAACACCTTTGAGGGTCGTAGGGAAGTACTTACACCAGGTAGCCTCAGACCTGGGGTTTAGATACATGTGCCCCTCGTAAGAGGCAATGTGATCCTTCGGATCTGAGGTACCGTCGTATGTAATGTGTGCCGGAATTTTGACCGTCGGCACATGTTCCTCCAGTATCCAACTCTGGAAGGGTGAGTTTGACGGAACCATGACCGCCTTTCCCTTGTACCCGGCCGTAGGGACCTCGCTTCTCCCTCTTAGAGAGGTGGAAGTGGTTTTTGTCCCTGGCTGAGACAAGGCTGGTCGCGCCTTTGAATCCTCTTGGAAGATGAGGCGGCTATGCACGCTCGCCTCCCTTGAACCCAAGCGTTCGTGGACGCTCTGGCGGGCGGATTCCGGGCCCCTGGAGGGTGCGTTCCGGAAGCTCATAGAATTTTGAGCTTCGGACTGGTCGAAGGGTTGGAGGTTCCTCCTCTTCTCCTTACCGGAGTTTCGGATGTCCCCTTGCCACTTCTGGCCGAGCTCCCTATGGGGTGGAACTTGTTCACCTTTCTCCTGACCGATCCTCCTTTTCAGGTTTCTCGGCTGCTGAGACTGAGGCTCGTAGGGTGGCTGGACTGGAGCCCCTTGAGCTTTGAGGAACTCCAGGCAGACGGCTACGGCCCTGGCCACTTCCTCCGTAGAGGGCCCGGAGGGAGGAGTCTCCCGCGGGTGTGACCTGGATTGCACGCTGTTGCGTGGCTGGGAGTCCCTCGGACCTGAGCCACTCGGTCTCGGTGATGCCTCCGGCTGCCGGGTGTGGTGCGAGGCATTCTCCTCTTGGAGGCTAGGACCTCCTGAGGCTTCCCTTTCCTGAGAAACGGGGGCCTTTGATGAGGAAGAGGCTTGCTCCGGTAAGGGGCGGACCGATTGGCGTTCCCTCACCGTGATCATGCCTCCCCCTTTCTTAGCATTTTTGGTGCTCTTTCCACTCTTAGTCATGGCGACTGTCGGAGTGTTTGGTGATTGACGCGAATTTTTTGCTGCGCTCCCCACAGACGGCGCCAAATTGTTTCGGATGAAAACAATGGGGCCTCGGAAGGCCCTTTTATCTTGGGGGAACTTGATCTCGGTCCAAATTACGGGGGAGCCGAGGGTTTCCTGCACAACAAATACACGTAAACTAGCCCCGGGGGTGTAGTCGAGGAAGGCCCCTCCGATGCTAAAGTCAGTATATTAGAGAGAGAAAGCTATGCAGGAGTTTTGTTGCTTGAGGCTTTGTTGTCTTACCTTGAAGGGACCAAATTGATGGCTTTTATACCTTGGTTTATGAAGGATGATGATTGGGCCCGGGAGTCAATTGGGCTTGCCAAGCTGACTGGGCCGTTGACTGACCTTAGCATGATCTGGAGGATGTTGACCTTTGCTTTGGGCTTGAGATGAGTTATTTGGACTGGCCCAATTTGGAGGAATGAAATTGGACCCAAACACTAATTATATAATTAAATTAAATTTGTTGGTCATTATGTAATTTATTCATCTAGAATCTAAATGTATCGAATATATCTAGTATGAGTAATGAATCATGACCACTTTGACTAATTAATAGAAGTAAAAAAAAACAAAAACAAATGTCAGAAAATTAGAAATATGATCGAATTGTTTCTCTTATTTTGCTTAGAATCCTATTGTTAGGCCCAGTTCACTACACCTTTACTGAACTGAAATTATATTTACTTAAATGAAATTATTTTTGCTGAATTGAAATTAATTTTACAAAACTGAAATCCTGAGCTAGTCTAATGCCTCTCAATACACCATTAAATTAAGTTTCCAAGCCATATTATTTCGTCCTGTTTTCGTTTCTGTCTAATGATAAGATTCTGCTAGGTTGCTTGCTCGAAAATACTTCTCTTGTACATTAAGAGTTCAATCAGAAAATCACCAACTTCATAGGCGAAGTTTTGTTTGGACATCAAAGAAACTATCAATAAGTACTAGTAATCCTTGTGACTGCTGCTACTTCATGCCTTCAAGGCTGGCGGGCATTTGGATGCACGTCCGTTCAATATCAACTTGAGAATGATCATTCGATGAATGCACCTTGATCTCATATAACTTTGGCCACAGCTTTCCAGTTACTACAAAATATTAACACAAACAACAAATATATAGAAAAACCTGAATAAACCCAAAATAACTACAAGATTCAAAATTATACATTTTTTTTTTCCAGTTTCTATAGGGTTTAAAATCAGATAATTGGCGGTTCTTCAAGGCCTACCCCAAATACTAGAATGAGACATGTTTATCAGCTAGTCTCAGCACAGAACTACAAAGTCCTAAAAAATTGGGATTTAAACACATCAATACTTATGATTGCAGAAAGTTGAAGGCCGTATTTTCTTCAAAATAAATTTATCTTATCAGTTAGTAGGCAATTAAAAAGGATAAAAGGGAATTGTCAACATTTTAACCTCTGTTTACTTGTCTAATCGCTGGGCAATTAGACAGACTCTTTTCAAGAAAGGTAGTTGATTAACAATAGAGTGAGATTAACCAGAAATGTGACAGAATGAAGTGAAAGAAACTGACCAAATATGCGCTTTTCATCATTGTCCCATGCGATGCCATTCAAGACGTCTTCAAATTCCTATAAGAAAGCAATTAATGCACTTATGAGATGGTTATAAGGATGTTGCTATTTCACGGACTAAGCCAATATATAAAGTCAACTTGGGTAAAAATGTCAAGACATACTATTTCACCAGCTGCTTCCAATCTTTCTCTGAAACAGGACAACGAGGGAAGATTATGAGATGCAATGGGTTGAAAAACACAAATCATGAGTTGAGAAAAGGGAGAGTAGCTAGCTTGAACAAAGAGACAAAGAGAATGGTTGAAAATTAACCTCAACATGGGAAGAAGGATCCAGCCTAGCACTGTACCATCCTCAGGCGATATTCTTATAATGCAGTCAGTCTGCACAACAAGAACTCAGTCAGTCTGCATATTGATATCTTTATGATTACAGCTCAGTAAGCTGAAATTACACTATATTGGACTAATTTCCTGGTTGTTAATTAACACGCTACTTATATATTCATGCATAGTATATCTGCTAAGAACATGCTTTCAAGTTCAGGCATCACTTATTAAGCAAGAGAACCGAAGTAAATTAAGTGAGATAACAGAATAACAATTACCCGAAAAACATTTGCCCAGACTTCCCCATGAACATACTCCAACTCATTTAGGTAATGTACGTCAAGATCTTTGTATCTGACATTCTGCCTCTTTATCACTGTACAACAAGTATATTTAGTGAGATATACATGCAACTATCTTTTAAACAGCTTACTCATTATGTAAAGTTATACTACAGGACATATAGGCAGGACCCAACAGCCTGCAGTGAGAATCGAGCACACAGATGCGGTTTTTTTATTAACATATACTTCGAATATTTTATCTCTATCTATTACAAGATTTAGAACTATCAAATTTGAAGGCATACTTAGTTTTGTGCACACAAGAACAAGGCAGCAGCAGCAGAAAGAGGGACAAAAATGAAATCCATATATATTGAAAAAAGAGGATAAAAGCAGCACCTTTCATTGTATGGGGATCGATATGGTATAATGTTGATGAACCATCACTTCCAAACATGATTTTCCCATCAGTTGTCAGTCCCCATCCATCCTTCATTTGGTGATTAAATATTCCTATCTGTAGTAAGCACGAGTGTTGTAAGCTTGTAAGTTGTAACTTTTTGATAAGAAATAAAATAAAAATAAAAGTGGTGATTAAATATCCTATCTGCAATGCAATAAAGCACGAGTGTTGTAACCTTGTTATTTTGGAAGATGTCAAAAAAAAATCTCGATCAAAGTCATAAGTCTCACAACATCAAAGTTTAGCACCTTCAGCACTATTAGAAAATTCAAGATGTAGGAAAGTTAGCTTCACGTAAAATCAATCCAGATGACTCATTCGGCTCACACTGAGACTTTTTTTTCCTTGGTTTAGCCACACCAGAAAAGAGGTCCGGTACTGTAAACCCCATACATCAGCTTTTCTGAAATTTTTCCACTCAGTTACCCCAAATCAGATCCATAATTTTGGAAGTCTTAATCAAGAAAAGCTTCTACAAAAGATTGCAAATATGAATTTCTATCCTTTTCAATCAGACTATAATAGAAATTTTCTTATACCAATAGAGAAGTTAGGAATCTCCAGTGCTGTTCTTGTTGCGTTTCTATCTCTTCACTACAGAAACAATTTTCACACTGTTCAAGTTACAAGTTTCCTGAGAAATGATTCAGAATCAAAGACCTTGGAATGAAGAATTCATCTCAATTCTCAATTCAAACTTACGAATGCAACTCGAAAAGAGAGGAACAAACCAAATGCATGCCAAAGTTCTACGGAATAACTTGAGACTAATATTTATTTAACGATGGTGATGGTTGTGAGATTATGGCTTTGAAGTATTCTAATTCAATCATAAATCTTTTTTTTTTTTTTTGACGGGATCATAAATCTTATTGAGATGACAGATAGTAGAGATAAAATGCTCACAAGACACTATATATCACAGTAAGTAAAAGTGGAACTCCAGAATTACTGACTTTGCTCAAGGTTGTTCTGTCGTAAATGAAACCAGTGTTCTGATCATAAGTTAGTTGATACAGCCTGCAAAACAAATTGTATACATAGATTAGAAAAGACTATAGCTTTTCATATATTTTAAGAAGCAAATATGAAGGGGGAGGGGGGGTTGAGGTTCTTTAAAGATCTAATATCCTACATCAATCAATATCTCAAGTATATAGTGGAGTTGGGATGCAACAAGGCTAATTACTGGTTAACAAATAGTTACATAAATTTATATCCCTAAACTTGTTAGGTGTGCGAAGGTAATTTACTCCTGCGGCATAATACGATTGAGGTACAGTGCGGTAACCACAACATCTATGTCAAAAGTTGTACAATTATAAAATGAAAAGTGAATCACAATTGAAATAAGTATTTAGTGATACTGTTGGTCCTTAGCTCACAGATTTACAGCTAAATCATTTGTACAAAGTAGTTGTTAGTTAAATGGCAAATTACTCTTTTAATACAAACCTTTCACCAACCAAAGTTAATCCTTCCCCAAAATAAGAAGAAGACATATCCAGAAATGCCTCGACCTATTGGAACCAAGAAAGAATTAGTCAAATGAAGCAAAAAACACAAATATCTGGGTTATGATTACCATTTACCAATGCTGAGAATATCTTAGCTTAAATTAGAATACATCTAAATGAACAAATACTTCCAATTCCAACATTACAAAGAGCTTGTTGGGATCTTTTATATTGTTTAATTCGCTGAATCATTTTAAGGAAAATTACAAAGGTGGTCTCATTTAGGAAGCCGACAGTTACTCCATTCATGCAGAGCACAGTGTATAAAAGTAACTGGAAAACGATACAATTATATCGAGGAGTGGCTTTAACATCAAAACATACTTCAACAAGAGAATATAGGTAGTAAGCAAAAGGGAAGTAGAAGAATTTCAGCAATCTGGAATTGTCTGTGGAGGTGGGAGGTATTGATTCATTGTAACTAGATAGAATTTAAAGTCGGGAGACAACTTGGGTTACAGAAAACGGAGATTTTTTTAACATGTTCATGTTAATACAGCTGTGTTGGACTAATGAAATTCTTCTGAAAGTTTGTTGCATTTGTAGCAACACTGGTTAAAGGTAAGATGATCTCTTCAAATCCTACCATCCAGAGCCAATCATGGTTATTAGTGCTGTTGTAGGTAGAGAAATAATAGTTAATGTGAAAGTTGATTCTCCAAAAATAAGATTACCAGAGGAAAATCAGGCACTAATTTTGTCACATGATGATTAAGTGTATAGAAGAAGATTAAGGAGCATGTCATATTGAAGTAAACTATTATGCACACTTACTCAACTACCACAATTTAGGCACATAGGAATGTTGAGTTTGTTGCACCCAAGTTCTCTAGCTAGGCTAAAAGCAAAAATAAGTATGCAAAATGTACAGAGTGAAACTGGTGTAGAAGCCCAAGAAGGTGTAGGAAAATATGAGGAATGCATAATGTAGTTGATATGCGTTTGATCATATTGATCAAGACTAGGGATCAACCACAAGATCTCTTATGTTAGCTATCTTCTTTAACACTAAGCAAGTTTCCACTCTCCAGAGGTTCATATTAATGTAATAAAGTAAGGTCTATAACTTTATATGCATAATTTGCAGTACTAACGACATGTTCTTGTGTTAAGAGAGGAAGATGAGAGGTATGAAAGAGTGGTAATGGCAGCAGAAGATCAGATAACAAGGTGAGTAAAGGCCTTCAATACGAAGTATATGACTACTAACTATATGGAACTAGTAGAAATGGTGAAAATCAGTTGAGATTCATGAAAGTGTGGTGTACCTTTCCAGTTTGTAGATTAACTCTCCTCACTGAAGACTGCATGGTTCAAAGTCAAGTTAAATAACACAATCTAAATATCAAATACGGAGTATGAACCTAAAAATACTTAAGAGACATAGGGCAAACAGTATCAACAGAAAGGATCTGATATCAGCATACAAAATTGAATAGCGAGATTTACAAACCACACATATAATTCCTCCCTCCTAAATGGAATACTCCAGTTCAGAAGCTCAATCTACGACCATAGGAAAGATGAATCACAGAATACCAGAAACAAGGTATACCCTTCATATAACATGCAGGTTCTAAGTTGATTAAATACACATAATAATGGGTTTACAAAAAATACACATAATAATGAGTGTTCAGCTGATCAGTAATTATTTAACTATGACAGTAAGCATCTAGGATACTTTATGAAACACCCCCAAATGTAAAAGCAAGAAATGAATGAATTGGACAGAGTAATATTATTTTCCATTTTATCATCAAAAACTCAACATAATATGAATGACCAAAATCTTATTTATATGAAAAGATGTATAACACCATATGCAAAAACGTCACGAAGCGAAGCAGGACGAATTCACCTCTCCATATAGACCAGTTGATTCATAAAGAGTGTTATTTCCTTCATATAGAAGTCCCTGAAAGAAAGCACAAAAGGACAATAAACAAAATAAGATTTTGATTAGAATCTCTCCATTGACAAACTCTAATTGTTTCAATTCATAAAACAAAGCTATATTCTGATAAATCAACTATAAACAATGCAAATCTATGAAGTTCTAAATCCATTCTACAATGCAAGCAACAAAAATATACTTACTTGATTGGTAACATATATATCATGTTCTTTTGAATTAGCCCAAAAATTGACAAAAGAATCCCAAAATAACCAATTCTTGCATGTTGCATGCAAGGTTTTCGACATCTTTCTCCCATCAATCACAGTAATATGTCTATTTTTCAAGCTAAAATAAAAGCTACTATCTTCCAAATTAGCAACAACCCACATGCACACAACAAATTTGATTATGCAACTAGGACTCGGGTACTCATATCAGACACGGGTACGTGTTTAAGTATTCGACTCATCTACAAAATTAAAAACTAAGCATGTTTATGGTCTAAATTGATATGTCAAGAGTTCATACCCAAGAGCTGAAATGAAGAGTTCAAGTAACATAAACTAAAAGCACGATTCAATAAAATTATTGTTTAATGGTCACATTATCAAAAGAGGGTAATCAGTTCTAAACTTCAATTCAGAGCAATTGAAAAGAAAACCCGTTTTCCACTAACCATGAAAAACTGCAAAATATTAAAAAAAAAAAAAAAAAAAAAAAGGGAAAAAGAAAAAGACCTCTGTAAAAGCTCTGGGATCATGAGGATACTCATTGACAACTTCAATGGTGTAAATTTGAGCCAATGCTGAGAAGGTGTTCGACGAAATGCCTAAATGAAGGAGGAAAGAAAATAGCAATGAACGAGAAAGCCATTGATTAGACATGGCAGAATGACACTAGGACTATGACAAGCCTGGTTATTCAGCTTCTTACTCTGTCCTATTTTTTACCTTGGTTTCATTGGTTAAATCGGTTTCATAATCACTTAAATTTTTTTTTGATTTGTTTCAATTTAAAATTTCAAAATATACAAGTAAATTCTTGTGAATTAAATAAATACTGTGCATAATTACAAATATAAATGGATGGATTAAAGCCGATATCAAAATATCTCACGATAATAAAAATGATATCAAGAAATAATATTATCGTATCCTTATTATACCAAAATAACATAATACAGAGTAGGGGTGAGCAAAGATTCAGGGTACTCGATACCGGACCCGAAATCGGTCTCACTGGTTCCGGGACCGGGTCCAAAAATTCGGACCCAGTTGGAACCGGTTCCGAAATCGGGTCCTGAAAATTTGGACCCGGTACCCGGGTGGGTACCCGGTTGTCTAATATGTTTTTTTTTTTTTTTTTTTTTTTTGTTTGTTTTTAAAAGTTCTTAATTTCTTATTTCCCTCTAACCCTCTTCCTCCATTCTGAATCTCTGATCTTCATATAAACCCATCGCAAATTACAAAAAAAAACCAAAATTACAAAAAAAAAAACACCCAGCCAAAACCCCAACCACCCTAAGAGTTCCGGCAGGCCCCCCAGCCTAGCCACCTCCCTCGTCGGACCGTCGGACCTCCCCTTCCACTAGAGTCGCCGCTCCAGCCACTACCATCTAAACCACCATCCCCCTCCCAAAACCCCCACGCAACCACCAATAAAAACCACTACTAGAAAATAGGCAAATTCTGACGGACTTGTTCCGACAGACATGAAATTCCGTCGGGAAAAGCATAATTTCCGACGGATTTAAGTTCCGTCGGATATTTCTGACGAATGCAAATAATCCATCAGAAATTTCCGACGGAATTTATTTCCGTCGGAATATATGTGCTTTCCAACGGAAAATTCCGTCGGAATATAATTAAAAAAAAGTTAAAACCTTTATACCAAACCCTACCCAATAAAACTTGGATCCCTTTCTTCTCCTACTCAAGGCGCCCCTCTTTCTTCTCCTTCTCTTTCTCTCTCCTCTTCTCCTCTTTCTCCTTCGTTCCTTCTTTCCTCATTTCTCTCTCCTTTCCTCTTCTTTCTCTCCGCTTCTCTTCTCTCTCTTTCCTCTCCTCTTTCCTCTTCTCTTCCTCTATGAACTCCTCTCCTCTTTCCTTCTCTCTCCTCTGCCCTCTCTTTCTATCTCTTCTTCTTCTCCTTCTCGGGTTTTCATATCTCTTCACGCCTCGCAACACTTCACGCATGAAACATCAAAGAACAAAATAAGGTTTTTCATGTCAAATTCGACCATGGAAACCCTAGATCTAGAGTTTTCATGGTCGAATTTGACCTTTAAAACCCAAGTTCAAGCCAATTTCGGGGTTTTGATGGAATTCAAGGTAAGTTCTCTTTTCTCTTTCTTCATTTTGTTTCGGGTTTTGCTTGAAACATCAAAGAACAAGCCCTTATTTTTTGGATTTGATTTGAAATTGTGGGTGTTGATTTGGTATATTTGGTTTTTGTGCGGTGAGATTTGGAATTTGGAACAAGTTCGGTTTTTGTACAGTGTTGATCTAGAGTTTATTTTTGTTGATTTCGTTATGTTTTTGTTTAATTTTTATAGATTGATTTCGTTGCTTTTGCTTGGTTTTTTTGTGGGTTTTTACGTGATTTTTGTGGGGTTTTTTTTTTTCCGAATTACTTCGTTTTTTGTTTTTTGTTTTTTTTTTTGTGGTTTTTGACGGTTGGAGGTGAGGGGTGTTTCACGGTGGTAGGTGGTTTACGGGGTGGAGGTGGGTGGTTTATGTTGGAAGTGGGTTAGTATGGGGGTAGGGGGGCAAGGGATGGGTACCGTGGGCTGGTGGTGTAGGCTGGTGGTGTGGGAAATTTTCGACGGATTTTCTGGTGCCGGAATTCTTTTTCGACGGAAAAGTGTTTTCGACGGAATTTCCGTTGGAAAAGGTCGATTTTCCTACAACAGGTTTTCCGACAATCGGATCCGACGGAAATTCAGTTGGAACCGGGCCGACGGAATTCAAGGTGATTCCGACGGGATTTTTTAGTCGAAAATGACCTGTTTTCTAGTAGTGAACCCTCCCAATTCCGGCCACCAGCCAAACCCCAAAAATCACCGCAATGCGCCGCTAATTTCCCTTCCCTCTGTGCCACTATTTCCCCTCCATACGCGCCGGTTTGGGGACTCCCAACCTCCCTCCTTATCTCCATTTCCCTTTTTTCGGCGACCACTCCCTCCCTTGAAATCTCTTCCTCCACTTGATGAAAACCCTTTAAAACCACCTCCCTCGTTTCCTCAATTTTCAAAGGACAACTTTTATTCTTCAAATTAAACTCAATTACAATTTATTTGATTAATCAATTCACGAATTGTAGACATTTATGAAATGTAATTGCTTGAAAAGTGTTGAAAAATTGAGGTTGCGGTTTTGGTTGATGTGTATTTTTCGATTGAAGTAGAGTTTGTTTGGTAGTTTCAAGGTCAGTGGCTGCGGCTGGGGTGGTTGTGGTGTTTGGCGAGGCAAGAGGGGAAGCCAACAACGGGTGGGCCTCCGTGATGCAGTCTGTTCCGGTGTCGTCCTCTCCTCTCCTCTCTTTTTCGGTCTCTTGGTACAAGATTACATGATTTACAGCTCAAAAAATTAAAAAAAAATAATCTAAGGATGAAGATTGAAGAACCGGGTACCCGGTCTTGGAAGCGGTTCCAACCGGTTCCGGGACCGATTCCGAAATTCTTGTACCCGGTGCAACCGGTTCCGAGACCGGGTCCAACTGGATACCCGGTTCAACCGCTTCTGGGACCGGGTCTTATGAACTGAACCGGGTACCTGGTTTCGCTCACCCCTAATAAAGAGTATTTTATTATCCTTATTACTAGTATACCAAAATAACATAATATGGAGTATTTTATTATACCTAAGATGATATGATAAGATAATAACATTGATACCAAGAGCTCATTTTTCTTGATCAAACTTCAAAACAAATGAGTGAAGAGTGAGATACATTACTACGTGTGTGTTTGCCTGGACAAAAATAAAATATTTTTCCAAATCAGTCGTTGAGTGTTGATTTGGGTTCATTACTACGGATCGTGTTATTTTCCAAGTTCCAACTAAGTGTTTATTTTTCTTTGAACCATAAAGTATTACGAACTAGGTTACGAACTAGGTCAAATTGGTTATCGGTTGATATTAATTCAGATTCATGTCAAGGTATTGAATTCAATTCCATTTTCGAAATATTGGGACAAAATCACAAAACAAAAGGAATTAAACAACAATGAAAAAGAGATCAATCCAAGCATGAATAAATAGATTTGTACTTGTTGATCATTTAATTTTACAAAATTTGTAACTGCTTTACCTTATGTGTGACTGTGTATACATTAGGTTGCAAATCTGCAATGCAATTTAATTCTTCTCTTAATAAAGAAATGCGATTATTAATTTTGACAAGCATTAAGAATTTAAGATCATTTTTTTTGATAAAAATAGCAATTATTGACGCTTAATTTCCCCAACATTCAATATACGTGTCAAATTGCCTAGTCCTCATGATTCTCGTGGTTGGATTTAAAATTTAGATTTATAGAAATGGAATTTGGTTTCTTGTCTGCTTGTTTTGGACTTTTGGCTCCCTAATTAACATGATTAATTAGTACTGCTGTACTGGTAGTAAAGATTTAAATTAAAGTCACATATCGATAATTACTTCTATCTTTACTATTTGTCGACTTAACGAACATTTTTGTAATCTTACTCACTAGTCACTACGTCAAGACTTCGATTATAGACAGATTATTATAATAATAGTAACAATTGATTTTGTTCAAACCAACAAGTGTCCAAAGTATCAACTCAACAATAATGTCACCAATCTCACAACACCATAGTACCATACTTTATTATGATCAAACAATGTATTAGAGCATACATGCATTGACATATAATATAGACAGCATTCGATTATCAATTACGTCATTACTAAACTATAGTTGACATCCACAGTACATGATGTTGCCTTATGATAGAGTTATGAGAAAGAGAATGTTGGAAAGCTTAATTATATTAAAGAATATGCAAGAGCATTTATAGTACATAAGCAAACATTATACTATGACTAGATACATTAAAGTATATGTCTAGGTACATTAGACAATAATTAGGGAAATCTTTGACAATCAACCTAATTGAGTAAATCAAGAGATTACACAATAAACTATAAAGAGTAATTAATAATGATAATGATGATTTAGTCATTATTATCCTTTACACGCCCCTGCAAGATGGACGGCCGATGAGGAAAAGTGCAATCTTGTAAAATGAGTGTCCTTCTTGATTGTTGATTGCCACACCAAGATGTTGGTGGCTCTTCAATTGAGAGTTGCACGTACCAAATTAAAGGCGTTAAAAGTGAAAGAAGGTTTTGGTTTTTTTTTTTTTTTTTTTTTTTTTTTTTTTTGTCAGAGGAGAGTAGGTGGAAGGATGGAATTTTGATCATTTTCATAAGAGAAGAATTACATTTAGTATCGTTGAAAGAAAGGAGTTTGAGTTTCTCCATAAAAATTTGGAGAAATGAGTTTATGTTTGGCAACACTTGGTAGATAGACTTCGTAGGCCAAAAAAGGATTGTTTCTCCATAAGGGGGGTTTGGAGAATTGAGTTTATGTACGGAAACACTTGGTAGATAAATTACGGGGTGCCGAAAGGGGAATGTTTCTCCATAAGGGGGGGTTTGGAGAATTGAGTTTATGTATGGCAACACTTGGTAGATAAAGTACGGGGTGCCGAAAAGGGATTGTTTCTCCATAAGAGGTTTGGAGAAAAAGGAAATGATAATTAGCATCTCTTGGTATATGAAATACGGGGTGCAAAAAAGAGTTGAGCGGAAGTTTGAGGTTTGAAGCTTTCCGAGAAGGAAGTTTGATATGGGCACCATCATTTGTCGACGTCGGCAAAGGGTGTTGATGGTGTAGCCATAGAATAAGAGGAAGTACTAACGGAAGCGGGAAAAAAAA